AACTTACCAGATTTTCCATCTACAAACTGCAATCTTATACGATTTGGAAGCTTTTCCATTAGATCAAGTATAACCTTGACCCCAGCTGTGCTAGGTCTTGACTTGATTTGAGTAGCTTTATCTATAGCTATTGGTTTCCCAATTGCCGATGCTATAGACAACAAAGACTTCTTTGCAAACAAATCTGGAGATAAGTTTGGTAAAGAAATCCAAACCACAGCTAACGTCGTTCCTCCTTAGGATATATCCAATGGACCATGGAAAAACCCTACATTGGTGCTCTCTCCATTGTAGAGAAGATAATTAACTGAGCGAGATAATGCTAGTACATAATCTTCATATTGATCAATCTCAACAAAATTTGTCTTGGAGCAAGTAAGCCAATTAAACAATTGCCCTTGGTACCATGATGTTTCGGTAAAATTGACCTTAATACCTTCAAATCTGGCGCACCATGGGATAATTAAACACCACTGCTTGATGCAATCCCTCTTCAATCATAAAGTCTTGCCTTTCCTCCATTGAAAACGTGCTAGTAGGTTCTCCATGAATTATTTCAATTGGTTTTGCGATTGTTTTTGAGTTAATTAGGGCAGATTGTTTAGGATTTATAGTATTGGAATTGAAAAGGGTGGCGTATGTGGTGGTTTGGGGTGGTGGGCGGGCTGGACAGCCTCGAAAGAAGGCCGTCCAGTGGTCGTAGCAGCCATGAGAGCTGCGCAGCTGCTGGCTTAAAACCCTAGGTCAGCCGTCCTCTATTAATTTAAACACTTATACTAATTTTTATGATTTATTTTTATTTATGTTCAATTGTAATTTCTTATTTTAAAAAAATAGACATGTGCCTGTTAATTTTCGTAAAAAAATTAAACATTCACGAACGAACATAAAATTTTCAAAGAATAATTTTATTTGACACTTAATCAGTCAATCGTTGCTGGTTAAGAAACAAAAAAAAAGTACATTTAATCAAAAACTCCAATTGAAAAGTACTAAAAGTTTTTTGGAATCTTGTTAAGGTAAAAATTGATTTGGAAAACCAGAGTTAAAAAATAATGGCATGGATGAACCAAACTTTTTTTCTCTCAGAATTTCTTCTTTCACTTTCTTTTTTCGAAAATATTTTCTTGTTGTTACAAGTTGCCACTATTGACTTATCTAGCAAATTTAGTTTTTTCTTCACAAATTATTTCTTCGTTCATATATTCGTCCCCTTCTGCAAAGTCAATGGATTTCCTTTGGAAAAAAGAAGAAGATTAGGCAAAACACAAAACATACTTCTTTATCAAAACTATTCATGTTGACTAATGCGCCAACAGTTTATGTAATCAAATACTCCTTTAGTTTCTTCTTACTTGGCTCTTGTTGAGACTCTTTAAGTCTTAACCCAAAATATACTCCAAAAATTAATGACAGTACTCAAAATGCAAGGCCACAAGTACTTATCAGAAAGACCAAGACTTAAATTTGAGGTTGAAGTTTCTTGCACATCTCATTCAAGACAAAAGACATTTTCCCTGTAATGTTAATCGCTAATGCCATAGTCTATTCTTCACTAAAAGAACTTGTCGAACTAACTCGATATTGACACTCTAAACCAAAATATACTCCATAGACTAATTTGATATCATTAAATAAATCATCTAAGATCATTGATTTGCCTCGTCAATTCTTGTTTTAGTAAAAAGAGAGAAACCAATCTGCTATAGTTATGGGAAGAAGTTGCAATCTTCTCTTTGCACTTGTGGTTTTCATTCTGCTCCATACGTCACTCTCTACTCTTCCAAATATTACTACTGATGAAGCTGCTCTTCTTGCATTCAAATCTCACATTTCTTCTTCCGATCCTAACAACATCTTAGCAACCAACTGGTCTTCTTCCACCCCTGTTTGCTCCTGGATTGGAATCACTTGCACCTCCCGACACCATCGAGTCACAGCTTTAGACATTTCTAGTATGCAACTTCATGGTACCATTCCTCCACACCTTGGAAACCTCTCATTTCTGTTTCCCTCAATATTAGTAACAACAGATTCCATGGGAATTTTCCCCAAGAGTGGCTCATTTGCAGAGGTTGAAATTGATTGATGTCTCAAGCAATAACTTCACTGGTGCCATTCCATCATTTTTAAGTTTGCTAGTAGACCTTTGCATTTTGGGCCTGTATAGAAACCAATTTTCCGGAAAAATCCCATCTTCCCTTTCCAATCTAACAAAGCTGGAAGTGTTGAGAATAGCAGGAAATTTTCTCGAAGGATCCTTCGAGAACTTGGTGATCTTCATTACATGACTGATTTAAACCTGGAAGGTAACCATCTTACTGGCTCTATACCACCATCAATTTATAACATTACAACCATGCGAATCATTGCTCTTTCCAAAAATAATCTTACTGGTGAGCTTCCAACAACTATATGTGACCATCTTCCAAACTTGGAAGGGCTTTACCTCTCAGTAAACATCCTAGGTGGCATTATTCCACCAAACTTGGAAAAATGCAAAAGCTCAATTCTTGTCATTGTCTGTAAACGAGTTCACTGGAACTATACCAAGAGAGTTAGGCACATAACAAATCTTGCAAATTTACACCTTGGATTGCTGCACTTGGGAGGTAGTATTGCATCTCCTAGCAAGAATTTTTAATTTTTTTCTTTTTCACTTTTCCACCATTTAGTACTCATATATATATATATATATATATTTCCCCACTTGACAGGAGAGATACCAGTGGAGCTAGGTAATCTTAAGAAACTACAGATTCTGTCATTATCCGACTGTAAGCTTACTGGTTCCATCCCACAAGCATTTTCAACATGTCAGCGCTGCAGGCAGTCGTATTTGACGAAAACATGCTTTCAGGTAATCTACCAGCAGATTTAGGCAGTGGGATCCCCAGCCTAGAAATATTAGTTTGTGCAAAAACAATCTGAGTGGATTTATATCTGCTACTATCTCAAATGCTTCAGACTCAGTGCGATTGATCTTTCAATCAACAGTTTCACAGGTCCAATTCCTCAATCACTTGGTAACTTAGAAAACCTTGAGGTTTTGGGCCTGCAGATGAACAATTTTGTCAGCGATTCAGCATTGAGCTTCCTGACATCTTTGACTAACTGTAGGAAACTGAGAGAACTCACTTTTTGTTATAATCCCCTGGACAGTTTTTTCCCAGCATCAATTGGAATTTCTCTGATTCTCTGCAAATTTTCGAAGGATGTTACTGTAACTGAAAGGCCCCATTCCTGGAGAAATTGGTAATCTTACCGGTGCGATAAGGATAAATTTTTCACAAAATGATTTGACTGGACATATTCCAAAAACTATCCAAGGCATGCTGAACCTTCAAGAATTTTACCTAGAGAGCAACAAGATAGAAGGAATCATACCAGATTCTATCTGCAATTTAAAGAATCTTGGAGCATTATACTTGTCAGGTAATCAATTTTCTGGTCGCGTGCCACTTGCTTAGGAAAGTTACCAGTATGAGATATCTTTATCTAGCAGATAACATGCTTAATTCGAGTTTACCCGAAAGCTTGGGGAGCCTTCCTGATCTCATAGAGTTCAATTTTTCATCCAATTTATTGCATGGCAAAATTCCTATTGAGATTGGAAATTTAAAGGCTGCAACACTCATTGATCTGTCAAAAAATGATTTTTTTGGTATGATCCCTAGCACTCTAGAGGGTCTGGATAGATTGATTAGTCTTTCTCTAGCACATAATAAATTAGATGGGCCTATTCCAGATTCATTTAGAAAATGCTGGCCTTGGAATACTTGGATTTGTCCAGTAACAATCTTAGTGGTGAAATCCCGAAGTCATTAGAAGCTCTTGTGTATCTCAAATACTTGAACTTCTCATTTAATGAATTCAGTGGAGAAATTCCCACGGGTGGTCCTTTTGCAAATGCCACAGATCAATCTTTCTTGTCCAATTATGGGCTCTGTGGTGATTCTAAGTTTCATGTTTCACCATGTGTCATCAGATCTCCCAAGAGGTCAAGAAAAAAAAGGCAATATTGGTTTTGTACATCCTTTTGGAGTAGGTATGCTATTTTTGCATTAGTCGTCACATATGTATTTTTGAGATTGAGAAAGAAAAAAAGAATGCAGGTCAAGCTGATGTGTCTCTGATAAATATCATGAAAGATTTCCTATTATGAACTTGAACAAGCAACCGAAGGATTCAGCGAAAGCAACTTGCTTGGTAACGGGAGTTTCAGCAAGGTCTACAAAGGGATACTTAAGATGGTACTCTTTTGGCAGCAAAGGTATTCAATGTGCAATTGGGAGGTGCATTCAAAAGTTTTGATACAGAATGTGAGATGTTGCGCAATCTCCGCCACCGAAATTTGACCAAAGTTATCACCAGTTGCTCCAACCTTGATTTCAAAGCCTTAGTGTTGGAATACATGTCCAATGGGACACCTTGATAAATGGCTATACTCTCACAACTTGTTCTTGGATTTATTTCAAGATTAGATATAATGATAGATGTTGCATCTGCAATGGTCTATCTCCACAGTGGTTGTTCAAATCCTGTGGTGCATTGTGACTTAAAGCCAAGCAATGTCTTGCTGGATCAAGAAATGGTTGGCCATGTCAGTGATTTTGGCATTGCAAAATTGTTAGGTGCAGGGGAGACTTTTGTTCAAACAAGGACAATAGCAACCATTGGATAGATTGCTCCAGGTTTTTAAACTTTTACAGCTTCCTCATTTTTAGAATACCTGAAAAATATTACTTAATTATTTCCCCATATATATGATCAGTTTTCGTATATTCCTCGATAATTAGGAAGCTTTTTTTAATATCATTTCGACCATGATTGCAGAGTATGGACAAGATGGAATAGTATCCACGAGCTGTGATGTTTATAGTTTCGGCATCCTGATGATGGAAACGTTTACAAGAATCAGACCAGGTGATGAAAGATTTACTGGAGAGTTGAGCATACGACGTTGGGTAAGTGATTCTTTTCCAGATGAGATTCTTAAGGTGGTGGATGCTAATTTGGTACAGCTAGAGGATGAAAGAATTGACGCAAAGATGCAGTGTCTGTTGTCTATCATAGAGTTAGCTTTGAGCTGCACTTTGGTGACACCTGATGCAAGAATTAGTATGGAAGATTCTCTTTCAACACTTCAAAAGATCAGGCTCCAGTTTGTCAATAGTCGCCGCTAGGTGGAATTAGACCATCCTCTTATGATTGATGCTTGATTACCTATGTCAATTCCACTATTTAAGATGAATTCAGTTTTATACTTCATATTATGTATTCTTTCACTTTTCAAACCATCACAGATTTCTTTCAACCATATGGTAGCTGGAATGGTGATTTTCCATCTACTGCAGTTTACAATTAGTCTTTCTAAAAATTGACACTCTTAAGTCTTGACCAAAAAACACTCTGAAGACTAACAACACTATAGGGCCTCCAGGTTGCCTGTAGCATAGCCAATACCATTTTCCAGTCCACAATAATGCAGTAACTTGTTCTAAAATATAGTTTATGTTACACTAAGGATGAATAATTTGTAATTTGTACTCCTATCATCTAGATATCCTTTCATAATTTATACATCCTTCTATTTTAAAAAATATTTCAAATTTTAAAAAATCATTTGGAGTTAGAGATTATCATACAATGTGATAGTCGGAAAAAATCATGACTATACTTAAACACTATGAAAATCCCACATATGGTGAATAATGCCAAAGAAATATAACTTGAGAATTATCAGACTCAAAATTTCCATGGAAAAAATGTATGGAGGAGGAGACTGGACTGTTGATTTTGAAAAATATTTCAAATTTAAAAAAAAATCATCTTTTATCCCCCCCCTCCGCCAACGCCCCACCTAGGCCATTTCCGTAAAAAAAAAATTATTTTTGAGAAATATTTCAAATTTAAAAAATCTTCATTTTTTACGCTACCCTCCACCCCCTACCCCCGCCCCCCTCATGCTAGCCCCAATCTTTTTTTTTTTTTTTTAAATTGTTTTTGAACAATATTTCAAATTTTTAAAAAATTCATTTTTTATGCCACACCCTCCCCCCAATTATTTTTTTTTGAAATAAAAATTTGTGGGTCGAAAGTCTGGGTCAGATCTCAAGGTCGGATTTTGGAACGGTCATCAGGGTCTTGTCATAGTTTGGGTGTCGGGGTCAGATCCTAGATCAATTATAAGGAGATTCGTCAGTCCAGGCTGAAAATACATGGGTAGATTCTCGGGTCAGAAATTATTTTCCTAATGAGTATTTTTTAGTCTCAAGCAAAAAATAAAAGATATTTTCTGAAAAATATTTTTCATTCACCAACCAAACATGAGAAAATAAGTTAGAAATCTACTTGTTTTCCGAGAAAACATTTTCCTTCATACCAAACACACCCTCAGTCTTACAAATATTGAGATTTGTGACCTTTCCGAAGGATTGTAACTTTTCAAAGGGGTGTGACCTTTCCGATAAGGCACAATAAGCATCTGTTCACACTATCATTTGTTGTCTATAAATAGAGGGATTTCCTCTCATTTTAATACAACCAATTTTTTGGACTTCTTCTACTACTACTAAATCTAGTATTCTGAGTGGTTCACTAACACCGTGGTTTTAGGTACCGATACATCGGTGAGTAAGATCGTTCTATCCAGGAAGGATATATTCCATTAACCTCGAGTACTTGAGGGGAATAATTTCCTTAAGGGAAGACTGTGCATTCAATGGGCTCGATTTTCTTCTTTAAGAAAATATTTTGTATATTGTTTCTAATTAATGTGTTTCTGATTCTATTTTCTCTATTGGTTTTAATTTTCTAGTTCTGAAAATGCTCTTTAAACTTTGTTGTTTCTTATCAAATTCTTCAAAGTTTTTGTAAAAAGTATCTTAGAAATACATGATGAACAACAATCTTAAGGAAATTATTATACTATTGGTAAGCAAATAAGTAAAACGAAAAGACAATATTGGAGGTGTTTTGTTATTAAACTAAAAGAAGAAAAAAAATACTACGTTCATATTTATGAAACAAGAACCTAACAAAGACAATATTGGAGGTGTTTTGTTGCTGCCAAACGCTATTGTGACTTTCTTCCATTCTCTCTTTACCAAACAAAACACATAGGTAAATAGACAATCTGATATACGATTTTGACTTTGTTTTACTTCCACATTTTCTTCCTGCCTACACTTATTGAATTTTTGGGCTCTTAAAGGATTATCTTGACAATTATTCATTGGGTAGTGGGTGGGTGGGATGCAAGTGACAGAAACTAGCAAAAGAAAATACTGTGACACTACGACAAATAAAGGATTAAGCGATAATAATATAATAACCGTTAAGTTATATTTAGCGGCAATAATAAATATGATATGTATAACCAACACTATATATAAACATTGCTTAAGGTGTTAGCAACTCTGAATGCAATGACATTAACTCAATTTCCGCTAAAAGGAAAATCTATTGCTTTTAAATATCTCTTTTGTTGTAGTATGAGTGGATTGTTGACCGAGTCTCACAAAGTCAACTTGGAGTACTAAAAATTGACACTCTTAGGACTCGTTTGGTAGGCGGTATTAAATAGAATAGTTCATGGATTAAAATTTAGTCCATCTAATACATTGTTTGGTTAGTTTATTTTATTTAATCCATGGATTGCTTATACACCATATGTGGTCTTATTTTATCCCTAGGAAATGGAGGGATAAGTAATCCAACGTTTGTTAAACCTTGGATAAGACCCCTGAATGACAAAACTACCCCTTTATTCATTTTCCTAAATTTCTTTGTAATTTGATTTTCTTTTTATTTATATTGAAATAATTATAAATGTTCTTTTTTATCCTCCAAATTCGTTTAGTGTAATTTAATTGGACAACAAAAAATATGCATAATCTTTTTGACAGATTGGCCTATATATGAGAAACTAATATAAGAGAAATCATAAATACTATTAGGAGAATGATATCCCTCTAAACAGAACTCTTAAATTCTAAAAGACTACATTGTGGATGTTGTTGTTCTGTGTACGAGAAGAAAAGTTCTTCTACCGTAGAAATCCAAAATTTCTCCAAAAGGACAGATATGGAAAAGTCCTTTACCGCCAAGAATCTTTTTTTTACCAAGAAACTTTTGTTATTGTCATTGTTGAAGCTAAAACAAGATACAGTGGAGGAGAAAGATCAATGGAAGAAAATATCTTCAAAAAATATGTGGGCTATGCATTAAATAGGAGAGAATAATTTGGTGATATAGAAAATTAAGGTATCGCAAAATATCAAAATCGAACTTTAAAATACCTAATCATATTGAATTATAATCATATATCATATCATATATCATATATCATATATAAAAGAGAATATTAGGCCCGCCTACGTGGCGCCACCACAAACTAGAATTTCCTTTTAATTTATTTATTTCCAAAACTAGCCTTCCCCTTTAATGAAAAGTTGTGACTTTAATGAAGAGTTGCGACTTGTATGAAGAGTTGCGACTTTTATGAAAAGTTGCGACTTTTATGAAAGGTTGTGACCTTTCCGAAAGGGTTGCAACTTTTCCAATATTTTGAACCTCTTCTTCTTCTTCACAATTAAATATTTGTGTACTTTGCTCCTGTTAAGTGACTCACTAACACCATTGCTTATGTTACAGATCATGGTATGTATTTTTACAGTCATTAATTTATGCTTATGTTATTAAGGATAAATGATAAGATGTAATAATTTTCATTTTCCTTTACATTATTAATGTTTGTTACTACGCAGTATGTAAGATAATATAGTGTTTTAGTTTATTGACCGATAGGTTTTAAGTATTATTTTTATAAATTTTGTGATATTAAATTTCGCACAAAGCGCGGATAATTTTACTAGTGATATAATATTTTAAAATTTTTTAATGAAATTATCCAATTAAACTTTTCAATATCATACCAAGCCCACCCTTAGCGAATAATACTTATTAGAAAGACCAAGACCTAAATTTCAGGTTGACATCTCTAGCACATCTCATTAAAGGCAAAAGCCATTTTTTCTGTAGGTCACTAATGCCATTTTCTAGTCTTCTGTAAAAGAATTCATCGAACTCGAATATGGGCTGATCGAAAATGAGTTAGGTGAAATGGAGAAAATATCCAGCCCAATTCATATTTGGTAAGGAAAAAAATGGATAAGCCCAATGAATAATGTGAATATCCATTGTTTATTATTTAGTAAAGAAATGAACAACGCCTAGTTGAGAAGCCTAAATAAAAGTTATTATCAATTTTAAGGGGCCACCGATGAGTTTGACCTTATTAATTGGATGGACTTTGGTCTTGTATATTGCTACATGAGACATACATCCAATAAGTTTAACATATTAGAAAAAGTCAATAAAGGCTATTTGGACTTCAAAAGTCTTTTCAAGTGGGTCATTCACACGAATGATACTTCTCAATTTTTCATGTCATAGAAATGGGAAAATTTCCATGAATTTAGAATTGTCAAAGCAAAAGGAAAAATAAAATTATTGGAGGAGGAACTGTCAACAAACTAGAAGTAGAGAAGCAGAGAAATTTCCTCTTATTTATCCATCTACTCATCCCCTTTGAACAATGAATGAATGGAGAATATAGTAGTGTTGGCCAAACACATACACAACCCCTCAAATTTGCCCTCATTTTTCATTTTGGCACTTCAACTTAGCCTTGTTCCATTTTAACCCTTAAACTCCAATTTTTTCTATATCATTTAAACACTTTTTTATTTATTTATTTATTTATTTATTTTTCCCGCAAATTTACCACTAGATAGTGTCTAGTGGCCTTTTATTAAACATAAAAAATATCAATAGAGATAAGTGCAAGCAAGGGGGGCTAGGCCTTACCTTACTAATCTTAATGAAGTGTCTACTACCTAACAAGCATGAAGAAAATAAGAGCTAGAGAGAACTAAGTATTTTCTGATCACCACAGAGTTTGTAATACACTGCATGATGATATACAAATGAGGATGCTTAAATAAATGTAAAAATATGTCAATCAAGAAGAAAGTTGAGTTACCAGCTCAAACTTTCTATTGCAAACGCATGAATTAAAAAAGATTGATTGCCCATCAAAAGTAACTTGAAGTATTTTCTCTTGTCTTCTTCTTCAAACCTATCCAACAACACTTGATAATTCATACTTTCTTTATGGATTTATTGGATCTTGTTGAACCTATTGATAC